TATTCAAATCCATATTTTCATTTCATAAACCAACTCAATTCCTAGCCCATTTCCCAAACCTTCACTTATTTTCCTCTTTTCGTGCCTTTAAATCCAAAATAATTCATTTCGTGTCCTTTAAAATCATTTATTTCGTGTCCTTTTTATAAAAACATTTAATCTTGTTTATTTTGGTCCATAATCTGGGTCCAATGATTGAATAGTTGGATGGGGATTTAAAAGAGCTTCCCAACGATATATTATAAGCCCAAATCCGAGTTATAACGAATAAGTTATGGCCAAAATATTAAACTGAGCCCAAACCGAACCTAAGCCCACCTTGCCTACGACCCAATGATCATGTGGAGGGTCCAAATTATTTAATCCTATTCCTAAATCAATTAGGATTAATTAGAAGCTTCTATAAGTTTCTAAAAGATCCTAATTATCCTTTTTGAAAAGATAAGATTAAAGAGTTTGAAATTGAATAAAAACTCTTTTTTTAAAAAGTCCTAATTTTATTCGAATTGAAAGACATTCAAATATAGACAGATATTATTTTCGTGCCTCATAGTTTTTATCAAAATTTTATATGGTTGGATAGCCCTTGAAATTATCTTTCCAATGATATATTATAATATCAATTCCGAGCTATAACGGAAAAGATATGAATAAAATGTCAAACTCTATCCAAAACTGACACCGTCTCACTATTTCGGCCATATCTATTTTAATCTGATTCTAATTGTGTTAGAAATTAGAATTCAAGATCTTTACAACTATATCTTATTCATCTTATTTCGATTTCTAGATCAAAAGATATGATAAAAACAAAAACCGCAAAACTGCTGTCTATCGAGCTTTATTTCAATTTAATTCGGGATCTTATCTTAATTCTTCGACCCTTCTTTTTTTTTCTCTATAAATAGAGGTCATATCACCCCTTTTCCAATCATCAACAAGCTTGATCACAAAATAATTCTTTTCTTCCTCTTTAGCCTACATATTAGCCATCCTATTCTTCCATAATACTTCCCCTAAGCACTCCAAGGAGTTCATACAATACCCAAAGTTCTATACTTCAACCAAGGTGTGAAATGTATAATTAACTGAGGGTTTGGACCAATTCAACTCTAATTTTTATTTAATTTAATTTCAATTTGATTTATATTTTTATTGAAGCTACTAACAGTTTACTCATGATGTAGCAATTCAAGGAAACGCGGAAAGTGGGTAATTAATCACGTACTTACTCTTATTATTTTATATTGTTATTATCATGATTAGGGTTATGATTTGATTTGACTAACGATATTATTGTTAAATGGATTCCAATATTAATTTTTATTATATTATTGTTATTATGATCACCACATTGCATGTTTAAAGGGAATATGTAATTGAAAACCACGCCTAATAAGATAATTTGGACAACCGGTTTAGGTTCCTTTTTAATCTTGCTGTTTAATCAACTGATCACCAATATTTTAGAATTATGTGTTGCATTAATATTAAACCAATTTGGCCTAATAATAGTTTGGAGCAAATTGAATCTTTGTTTTCATGCCTTTGAGATCGCAAGAATAATTTTTCACTATAAGAATCGAGTAGAGGTCAATATGGGCGAATGTGACTCCATGACTCACTTCGTACCATCATCCCCGATCCTCCTTTCGTGGTTCCGAACCATATGGAGTTAGTAATCTCATGGATTATGAATGGGGTGTAACCTTCACGGGTCAATCGTTGTTGCCTATCGTTGTCCCTTTATTCGTGGTTGCCTCAAATGATCCGTGAACGGTTTACAAGTTCCTTAAAAACTTGTTGGCGGCTCCCTACTTTGCTTTGTCCCTAATCATTGTCCCTAATCGTAATGTCAATTCTCACTTCCTATGAGTGCCAAGCATATTCACCACATGCTTTTAATGTTGGCGCACTTCGAACGACGCCTACACTGCCCACCATTGCATCGCAATTGATTTTCATAACTCCAGCAATTGGGCATCGCCATGAGTTATTTGTTGATGGAGCAGCTCGGTTTACTTGCGGAAGGACTTTCACAGCATAAATATTGTAGTCTTGAACCATCTTTGTCATCCCAGTTGCCACCATCGTAGGATTAAAAGGCTCATTCTCAAAAGTCGCTTTGTTTCTACAATGTCAAGCTGCCCAACATAGGGAAGCTAAGACTGTCAGTTGCTCCTTTGTGACTCTGTCATAGAGCCACATCAGTCTGGTGGTGAAGCTCTCACTCGGTGCTTGCTCAATTAAATCCTTGAAGTTGCTTGCAACCCATATCTCCTTTGCTGCCGAACACTCGAACATGGCGTGAAGAACAGACTCATCACCATTACCACAAATAGCACACATTTTGTCATCAATTACATGGCGATAAACCAATCTTTCCCGAACCGCGAGAAAACCTTTACAGGCTCTCCACAAGAAATGTTGAAGCTTTGGCGGTGCCTTCAAATTCCAGATTACTTTCCACACCTTTTCCCATGTATCACCCATATCAAAAAAATCCCCCATTTTTACTTAGCCAATACCCCGAACGAACATTATATTCTCCATTTTTATTTGGCCACCAAAACATGGAGTCAACTAGATTTCTATTTGACAAGGGGATTGATAAAACAAGAGCACGTTCATCAGCAATGAACGTGTTGAGCTTCAACATTCTAGCAGTTACACGAGTGGTCAATCAGATCAATGACTCGTAATTACATATCACTATCAACCGAGGGAGTTGGAACCAAAGAGGAAGTATTACCTGGTAACCAAGCATCACTCCAAACGTTAATAACGCTCCCATTTCCAACCTTCCACTTCAAGCCCTCCAACAACAAAGATTTAGCACACCACATACTCCGCCAAGCATAACTAGGATCACAACACGAACACATCACCACTCTTAAAATATTTTGCTTTTAACACCGAATGTAGCAGGGAGCCTGTATTATTATTATTATTATTATTATTATTATTATTATTATTATTATTATTATTATTATTATTATTATTATTATTATTATCATCATCATCATCATCATTATTATTATTATTTAAAATGAAAAAACCTTTTTTCACAATAAAAAAAAGAAAAAAAAAACCCACCCACCACCACGGCCAAGCCTAGCCACCTTCTCTCCCACCACCACTCACCGCCTAGACTCCCTCCGTCCCACTTGTGTCGGCTAGTCGGTCATCCCCACCCCTTCCTTTGCCCCGATTCGACACATCTCCCCTTCCCTTTCCCCGATTCACTCCCCTAACCCGAATGTTGTACCCCTCCCTTAACCGGAATGTCACAGCCCCTTCCCCTAGTTCCACTATAAGCCGTGTGCGACCCAAATTTGAAACCCCAACCCAAACCTGATATCCCATAGCCCAAACTACCCCGAATTCATTAGGGTTTAGGTTTCTGATTTGAGTTGGGAGTTTTAGACTCCGATAAATGATAGGGGGGAATGAAGGGGTTGTGTGTGGAGAATCGGGGAAGGGAAAGGGAAGGATAGAGTTGTTCGTCCGGCAGGCGTAAGGGGTAGATAGGTGGTTTGGTGGCGGTAGCTAAGGCTGGGGATGGAGTGGCTAGGCTGTTGGGAAGGATGGTGGTGGTGGCGGCTTTTTTTTTTTTGTAATAATGATAGTACTAATTTTTTTTTAAAAAAAATAATATTAATAGGACTTAATCAATTATTTTCTATTTAACAAAAAAAATTAATTAATCTTTTAGTTAAGATTTATTTAATTATTTAATTAAGAGTTGCATGAGAAATTAAGCATGATTAAAGTTTTTATTAGAATTAAAGTATATTGTTAAAGGAAAAAAAAAAAAAGAACCGGTCATATAAGTTGTAAGTAATTTATCTTGTTTAAAGTGGATACCCCACAAAATTTGTATTTTTAAAAATAATTAAAAGTTTGACTTGTTTTTGGCGGACCGCTCAAAGTTTGTATTATTTTTGATAATTTTTTCTATATAAAATTACCAAACCCTCAAATTATAAGAACTAATTGGTACAACCTTCTAAAAGCCTACTTCTTTCTTTCTTTTTTTTTGTTTTTTTAAACCTTCTAAAAATCTACTTCATATTTCTTATAACACTTTATTCTTAATTTTAAATCAGGGCCGGCTATGGGTCTGTGCAAAGAGACCCATAGCACAGGGCCCTGCAATGGAGAGGGCCCCCAATTAAAAAAGAAAATTATTACTGATATAAGAAAAATTAATGTCCAATGTGTTGTGTAAATGAAATTTGCTGAATTGATAGTAGACATATTCTTAAAAGATTTAGTCTTGGATTGTTGTGCAGGGTTCAAACCCCATGTCTCTCTTTTCTAAAAAATTTTGCCATTCTCTTTTTTTTTTAGCCTTTATTTTACTTTTTTTTTTCCTTTTTTTTTCTTATTTTTTGTTTGTTTAGTCATTAATTAGTCTAGGGAATTATGAGGCCAGGCCAGGCCAGTTTTGCTATTTTTTTTTTAATGTAATAAACAAACTAATCAAACTTTACATTTTAGGTTAATTAATTGATAAACATATTTATTCAAAAAAATTAATAAATATATATAGTTTCTCTAAAAAAATAAAAAGGAAATATATGGGTTAAACCTTAAACTTGTGAATGAAATGCTATCATCAAATTCATAAACTTAATAATACAAACATAAGTTTTATGTGTTTTATCATGTAAAAAAACGAAGACTAAAAGCAATGAGTTAAAAAACTATAAAGCATAATTTCATATTTAAAATTATACGTTCTAAAATCATCGGGGCCTAATTTAAAAATAGCACGGGGCCCCTAAATTGGTTGGGACGGCCCTGTTTTAAATTATACTACCTCCGGTCCAAATTACTCGAAACTTTGGGGTATTATTTGTGAGATATAAAATATTCCAAAGTTACGAGTAATTTGGACCGAAAATAGTATTTTTGATTGGATAAATCAAAACCTTATCCTTAGAAAGATGTTTATATATAGACCTATAGTTCTGGTAAGAAAATATAAACTCAACCTAATATCATACCTTTCTAAACTACATATCTTCCTTCTTAGCTTTCTCCTTTCCCAATATCTCTTAGCTAATGGATGTCCATAGACACTTCAATGTTTCGACGAAGGCTAAGCACATCGTGGCAGCGGCCGTGCCACTGCAGGATCACCGGCTACCCTTAACAAACTTGGACTTTCTGTTACCCCCATTAGATGTTAATGTTTTTTTCTGTTACAAAAATAGTGTTACTACGATACTTGATGACGAAGGGCAACAAAATGATACGTTCAAGTTTAAGGTGAGTGTACTAAAGAAAGCCTTAGCTGAAGCACTTGCGTACTTCTATCCCTTTGCAGGTGAAGTCGTTAAGAACTCCGGTGGCGAGCCGGAAGTTCTATGCAACAACCGCGGTGTCGAGTTTGTTGAAGCATTTGCGGATGTTGATCTTTTTGAGCTTGATTTGTATAATCCGGACCAAAGTATTGAAGGCAAATTGGTGCCTAGGAAGAAAGATGCCGTGTTCTCGGTTCAGGTCATTGCTTAGCCCCTATGGATTCACATTTTGACTTTTGATAATATTCATAAATTCTATAATCTGACTAGCTTTTGTGATTTGAAAAAAAAAATAGTGATCTGTGATTTTTATTATTCCCTTCATGTTTTTTTAAGTGTTACAGTTTGACCGACACATAGTTTTAGGCAATTAATTGACTTAAATAAAATAAGAGGTGAGTGAGATAGTTGGAGTATTAAAAAATTATAAAAGAAAGATAATGAAGTTAATAATTTGTTTATCTGATCCAAACGCTCCGGATGGATCCATCATATTGAGTTGGTTGGGGCTCGGGTTGGTGGAGAACAGGCTAGGCTAGTTAAGGCGGGAGAGCAACATAAGGGAATTAATTGAACACATTTCATATAAATAAATTGTGTAAATATAATTAAAATGTGATATTATAAAATTATAAAGGAAAAATTGTCAAGAATAATCCCAATTTTTCTCCGTCCGTCCAAAATAATCCTAACTTTTGATTATTTTTTAATAATCTCAACTTTATACTTCATCCGCCTAAAACAATCCCAAGTGACCGGTGACTCGTTAAACATGTAATTTTTTTTAAGGTTTAATTTTAGTTTTATAAAACAAAGAATTAAAATATTAATAGTATTATTAACTATTTAATAATAATAAAAAAAAAAAAACACTACATCCACTCAGCACCACCCAATCTCTCCTCCGGCCGGCGCCACCCCCTTCCCCCATCCTCTCGTCGGCGCCGGACCCAGCGAACAACGATTGGCGCCGCACCTACCCTCTCCCTGCCGTCATTCCCCACCCCCTACGATTGAAATACCTAGATGGAATCATCGATTTTGATTTCCAGGTCAGTACCATCGTTCGGGTTTGCCAGTTCTCGTTGTACATGGGGCTGCCAGAAGAAGGGTTTCATTCGGCGGAAGAGGTGACGGGGATTTCAATGACTGGTGGTGGGGGTTGTTCCGCTAGCTGAGCTTCTTGATTAAGGAGAGAGAAAGTTGAGATTGATTTGAGGGTATTGGAAATTACGATTGAGGAGCTTCGTGATTTGGCAAGTATCACCATTTTTTATTGCATCTGAAGTAGAGGGGGAGAGAGAGAGTGAAGGCAGTAGGAGTGGATGGTGGATTTTTTTTTTTAAACTTTTTTTTTAACTTTTTACAAAAAAACAAAAAATCTTTTTTCTAACCAATTGTAGGATGACACGTGTCCGGTAACTTGTAATAACAAATTAAATGACCGGTTGAGACTAATTTGGGCGGATGTTATACAAAGTTGGGATTATTAGAAAATAATCAAAAGTTGAGATTATTTTAGGCCAACGGAGCAAAGTTGGGAGTATTCTTGACAATTTTTCCAATTATAAATTAGGGAGAATAATCTAATATATATATATATATATATATATATATATATATATATATATATATATATATTGTGTGTTTTACATTCGATTCACCCTTTAAGCTAATCCGGATTCAGGGATCAGTGGTGGTTAGATTCCACTTCCCTCCCAATTTTTTTATAAGTACATTTTTTTATAAGTACATGACTATATATCTTATGAACTACAATTATCGATACTAGTTATATAAATCAAAGTGTTACAAGTAAAAAAAAAAAAAAGAAATATTAGAAGTATATATAAGTTGACATATAGGCCTTGTTTGGCAAGTGGTTGTTGGCGGTTGGCTGGTTCACTTTGCTTGTTTGACCAGCTGGTATGTTTGGCTGTTTATAATGACTTTTGAAATTGGCTATTAAAGCTGGCTGTTTATAAAAGTGTTTGGTAAATTAATTATTGGTAGTTGGTTGTGTATTAGATAATTTGTGGGTCAACAAGCCAAAAGCCAACAAAAAAAGCTACTCAAAGCAGCTTTTTCATTTTGGCTTAAAAGCCAGATTTTTCACTAGCTAAAAAGCCAATTACCAAACACATTTTTTGGCTGTTTGACCTCATACAAAAGCCAAAATCTAACCAAAAAGCCATTTACCAAACATGGCCATAATTTACAAATTTACATCAAAACTCTTAAAGAATATGGTACAAATACCTATAATGATTTCAATACATGATGCAAGAAATTTAAATTAGTAGACAATAAATTCAAGTAAAACTTTACTCCGTACAATTTAATCTTAAAAAAACAACTTTGTACGATTTGATATGGTGGAATTGGGTTATAAGAATATGGTATGATTTTTTAAGATATGGTGGAATTGGGTTACAAGAATATGGTACGATTTACATCAAAACTTTACTCCGTACAATTATTTGCACGAGTTTTCCTCGAGGAACATACACACGTTATTGATTAAACGTCAATCTCATAGATTAGAAATTGTACTGAAAAAGTGAAATTGCATAGTCCCCACGAGTAAGTATTACCCACTACCATGGTATATTGGTATGGGTAATGATTAGGGGATTTTTATCCACCAATCAGCATCCGACACGTGGGCCAGCCAGGCTTCGCCACGTGTCCTTCATGTAGGCCAATAGGAGCCTGCCACGTGTCATCAAGAGATTCGCCCTCCTTGGACCAATTGCAATGTGACACGTGTCCACCCATGCCAAGTGGGAAAACCGGCCAACAAGGCCCAAATCATTGTGGGAGGCCCAGTCAGCCTTAGGTTTAACCTAAACCTAGTACTGGCACGCATCCCAAGACATATAAATATGCCCATTAATCCTCATTAAGGGGGATTACGCACATTTAACACTCTCACCTAGAGAGACCCAATTACTTTTATTTCCGCATCAATTACTCCTTAATCAAGTACTAACTTGACCGTCGGAGGCGGATCTCCAATCATCCGGAGCATCCGTTTGTTTTGCAGGTACAGGCGTCCGGTTCTAGTCTCAGAATTGTAACTCTCCCGCAGGACATCAGAAAACCCCGAAACATTTTGGCGCCGTCTGTGGGGAGAGTACTTCTGAGATGACATCCACGTTTGTACCGACTCCTGAAGAGAGGCGTCCCCTGGACGACCCTCAAGTTTAGTCGGACCATGATACTGAGGAAGAATTTGAAGTTGAAGCTCACACAGCTTCAGACGGGACCCTAAGGGCCCGACGCACCCGTCATACCGAAAGGAGAGAACGGGAAAATCTTCAAACTGGACTCAGTGATCCAGCCGGCGCACCGCCTGTTCAGCAGCAGCCAGCTGATGGGTCTGCTCTCATTACAAGAAACGAACTCATGACCTTCATGAGGGGCTTCAAGGGAGAGATTCAAGAGTTGCTCAACAAGAAGCCGCCTGCTCTGGCCAAGGAGCAGTCGGCTAAGAAACCTTCCTCTTCAGGGAAGAGGAAGCCTGTTCAAGGGCGAGAGGCGACCCCTCATCCTAACTCTAGGAAGTGGGAACCGCCTGTCCTTGATTTCACAAAGTACCGCTTTCCTACTCCAGGAAAGAGGAAACCTGTTCGTCATATTCAGGCGGACGGGTCGAAGAAAACATACACAGATGCTCGGCTATTGCTAGAGTAGAAGAAGAATGATCGATTGTCAGAGTCGGCCTCTACTTCAGACTTCCAAGACAGTCTACGCAATACCTCGATGAGGTATACCCAGTCGCATCATGAGAGTCAGTCAGGCGGTACCTCCCGTCAGTCCGGCTTTCATAGTGACCAGGCGGTACCAAACTTACCATTTGTACCGCAACAACAATATTTTTTGCAGTCACCTCTGTTTGGAGGGCATGCAGCAAAGAATATCCAACCTATGGACTGGCAGCTACGGTTGCTTAGACTTGGGGAACAGCCGTCGGCCTTCTCCAAGGAAATTACTGAAGCCGCTCAGCCGACCAAAGTGAAAAATGTATTAGTAGGCGCCTATGACGGCACTACTAACCCAGAAGACCATTTGATGGCAATCACCAACCTGATTTACCTTCAAGGGTTGGATGATCCCACTTGGTGCAAGTGTTTTCCAGCGACTCTCAAAGGAATCGCACAACAATGGTTCGGCAACCTGCCGACTGGTTGTGTGAATGACTTTAGGACGCTTGCTTACTTATTCACCTCCAACTTTGCCATGAACATACCTGCGAAGAAGACAACCCTTGATTTAGGAACGATTCAGCAGGGCGAGAAGGAGGGGCTTCGTTCTTACATCAGGCGGTTTAACCTGATGAGAATACAGATTCAAGGGTTACCGGATGAGGTAGCCTATATTGACTTTTTCAGAGGCCTCAAAGACGGGTCGACATTCAAATTTGATTTGGTTCGAAAGAGGGTGGCGACTCTTCAAGAGGCCTTGATTGAAGCGGAAGCCTATATACAGGCGACTGATCTTTGTAGTACGGGAAAACAGTCGGACGGGAAAAGGTTCGACAAAAGAGAAGGACGACAGAAACAGTCGTCGAACAAAGATGAGAAGAAGAGAAAAGAGGTTTGGGCGGCTGATTCCTCTAAACAGCCGGCCCAGAAGAAGAGGAAAGAATTCAAACCATACTCCCCAAAGTATGCGTTTAACAAGGATAGCCAAGCTATCCTAAAGGAAATCAATGGACGGATCTCAATTGAGAAGCCGGCCCCCATGAAGGGTTCTGCGAGCAACCGGAACCAAGAAAAATTCTGTGATTATCATGAAGATGTTGGTCATCACACCAACGAATGCATCAGTCTCATGCGGTATCTGGACCGCCTGACTGAGCAAGGCGATCTTGACTCTTATATCAAGAAATCTACGGGGAACACTTCCTCGAAAAAGCAGTCGGCCAAAAAGAGTCAACAGGCCGACAGATCTGATACAGATGATGCAGTCGTCTACACCATTGCAGGCGGCTTCTCAAGAGGCGGCCCCACTATTAGGGGCAACAAAGACAATATCAGGCGGCTAGACGTAAATTCCGTTCACCAAGAACGGCCCTCCAAATATTCATTTCCTGAGATTGTCATCACTGAAGAAGATCTAGGAGGGGTAAGGGGGGCGCGTGACGACCCTATCGTTATTGAATGTAAAGTGGCCAACCAGAGAGTTGGCCGAATC